AGGGGTGTGTACCGCTCGAACCGGCCGGGCGGACGGGCTGGTGCCGACCGGTCGACTCGAGGGGGTCGGTTGGTATAATGAGGTGTTCGGTTATTATATTGGGTGTTGTTGGTGTCTGAATCCTTTCTCTTCTCCCTGGTGGTGTGGTTTTTGGCCACAGGGTCTTGGCGAGCGGCTAGGGAATGTTCGGCGTTCATGTATTTTTGGGCTTTGGAAAGTAGGGTTGCCATGGAGGTCGGAGGGTTTTTTGAGAGGGAGAAGAGGAAGTCAGATGATTGCAGACCGGCCATGAAAGCTGTAAGGATGACTTTGTCATCATTTTTCGCTACCTGTAGAGCTTCAATGTTGAAGCGGATAATGAAACTGTGCAGCGACTCCCCTTCGGTCTGACGGATGTTGAGCAGTTGGGTTGCTGGACGTCACTAGCGCTGAGCTCCAATGAAATGGCCGAGGAAGGAGTCACTGAGATGTTGGAAGGTGGAGACAGAGTCCGCCGGCAGCTGACTAAACCAAAGTCGAGCTGACCCCTTGAGTGTCACGGGAAAAGCCCAATACATAATTTCGTCAGGGAATGCATGGAGGATCGTAAGGGTTCTGTAGGTCTCCAAGTGGTCGACTAGGTCCGTCGTACCGTCAAAAGAGTCGATGGTGGGCATTTTGAATTTGGGGGGTAGAGGTTTGTCCCTGCTGGAAGCAACAAATGGGGAGTTGGCTGTGGTAGATGGTTTATGTTGTATGTTCTGCATGACTCCTTGGAGCTGGAGCTTCATGGCTTGGAGTTCTGTATCCCAAAGAGGGATGTTGTCACTACCGGAGGGCAGCGGGGGCTGGACGCTGCTGGCCTCTCCTTCGGGGGTCGGTACCGGGATCGATGGCTGTGGGCCCCGAGGTGGCAGATTTATACCTGGGGAAGGGGGTTGTAAGCCTTCCAAGTTGGGTGGATTAGGCTGCAAGATAGTATGGCTCGGGGCTCGTTCTTGGTTGAGGGAAATATTTGGAGGTGGTGGAGGAGGCATAGGAAGGTTTCTTTGGAGAAGAGCATTAATCAAGGCTTGGTTTTGCTCGACCAAGCGGTTAATGCTGTTGGTGAGCTCAGTGAAATACGGTGGTGGGTTATTTGGGTTGGGGGGATCGGCTTGATAATCGGGAACATTGGCGTAAGAAGCCATGGATCTAGTCGTGACCATACACCTTGGCAGGTGGTAGGAAAGGGGTTATCGGGGAAGGGTCTCCGGCGACAATGAGCACAACTGGCGCGCGAAGTAAGAGCTTCCTACAGACGGCGCCAACTGATGATACTGTTCGTTCCAGGCAGAACGAGTCGGATTGATCCACGCTTCTCAATCCTATGCCTGAATGACAAGCCCACTGGGAAACCTGCACACGAGTTCAACGGGGAACGAGGAGTCCCCCAGTGAACCCTCCAACGAGCAAGTTAGAAAGAGAAGTGGAGAGTAGTGATGGATTAGAGATAGAAAGCTTAACCTTCTTATTGTCTTCAACGTCTGCTTATATCCTATGGTAATCATTTCATTGTCCCTTCCGACCTGTCACCTTGGCCGAAAGTCTATGCTGTAGCTTCCCTTGTTCATGGTGAGGGCGTGCCGTCCCGATGGAGAGGGGTTATCGCAATAAATGCTGTAAGGGGGCCTCACTAATAGTGATGTGCCATGACAATAACTTTGCAGATATTTGTCTGCTGATGTGGCTTGCCCTTCTCTTGCCATGTGTCTTGATGTCATTGGTTCTTATTGCTACATGGGGTTTCGGAAGTGCTGGGCCTTAGTATTTGAGTTATGTATTGAGCCCTGAATGGTGGGCTATAACCTTTATGGGCCTGCCCATGTCAATATTTGTTTTATTATTATAAATTTTATATTTTTAAAATTTTATTTTTGAGATTTATCAAACAAGACTCATATGCATAAATGAAATTTTGAAAAAAATAAATTGATGAAATTATCACCGCATAGAGGGAGGAGTGATTTCTCACAATTTCCCTTATTGACAGTAAGAAATGGAAAAAACAAAACAAAAAAAAGTTAATAAAATTTTATTAGAATATTGTGTAATTTTTTAATAGAATTATGATAATTAAAATTTCAGGAGACAATTTATTATGAAATTACAAATTATAAATTATCATAATTCTAAATTGGCCCTTGTTTTAAATTATAATTTATAAATTAATAGAATTACAAATTGCCCCCTGTTTGAGAAATTACAAATTGTCCCCTGAAGGTCAAATTTGTATAACAAATTAGGGGAGAATCTGTATGAAAATAAAAATCTCAAGGGACAATTTATTATGAAAATATAAACCTCAGGGGGCGGGATGTAATTTCTCAAACCTCAGGGAAAATCTGTATTTTCACCAAATCTCGAGGGGATGTTTGTAATTTGCCCTAAAATTTATAAATACGATAATTTATAATTTAAAAATATTTTAATAAAAAAATATATACTATTATTTTAAAATTTTATAATATTATAATTTTATTTATAAATTATAAATTATCATAACTTTATAGAAAATTACGTGAAGGGATGAATTTTTGAATCAAGATCAGAATTACGTGGATGCACAGATATTACGTTATTATATTTTTTTAACGAAAAAATGTGATCATTTCAAGGTGTTGCGTTGTTGGTAAGGGAAATTTTAATTTATATACTTTTAAAACGATGTTTAGTTATGTTATTTATTTATTTTTAATAATGATTAATTTTTTTTAATTATGACATTATTTTAGTTATGGTTCATAAATTTTTTAATTATACCTCATGTTATATTTACTTATGATTTTTCTTTTAATTACGACTCAAAAAATTAAAATTACGTGATTTTTCTTTTTAGTTATAAGGTATATATAAAGGTGTGCACATTAGGTAATGCACATGTAAGGTGTTGAGCAGACTTGAGATGAGGAGAAATTATTGGTTAGTCTTGTGTATTGTTACGTGATGCCTAATGATATTGTGACTTACAAATTTGTGTTGGGTGCCTATAGTGTCTAATAATGTTGTGATTGATAGAGAATGTGAGACTTACATATTTGTGTTAGGTGATTAACAAACCTAAGATACATTGTGATTAGTGAGGAGCGTGATCACGTGGTGTCACAGAATTAATCAATAATTTTTTTTTGAGATGAGAGAGAGAGAGGGGGGGTTTCCTCAGGAGAAATTCCAACATCGTCAAACAATGCCCAGTTAAACCGTTACCAGTTTCTCCATATCTGTGTGTTGGGTACGACTTTACTAATGGAATATTAGAATCAACGAACAAAAATAAAATAAAAATAATGATTAAAAAAAAAATGAAACGTGTATTTCCACTGCCAATATATATATATATATATATATATATATATTTTAAAAAAAAAAAAAAACTTAGCTTATCATTTTAATGGAACTGTTTGGTTCAACTAATGAAATTGTTTCTAATTAAACTTTTTTTTGTGTAAAAATGTTTGGTATTGTAATTTATGGGATAAAAATAATTTTTATAAAATAAAAAATAATAATTATTGAAAAGCAAAGAAATACATAATTTACTTTAGATTATCAACTTTCATGATGTTCAAAGCTACCTCTCAAACACGTTTAAATAGGACCTCAACTCGACGTCTCAAATTGTTTATTCATTTTGGACATTTGTGTCTTTTAATGAGTTAGGTCTATTTTGAGAAGTTTGTTAAAAGGTAATTTTTTTTATTTTTTTATTTTTTTTTTAAAAACGTGTAAAAAAGTACAAAAATAATATGATATAAAAAAATCAAAAATTGACTTTTAACCAACTTTTTAAAACAGGCTTAATAAGTAATTTTTTTCATAAAAATAAATTAACTTTTTCACAAATAAAAAAGTTTAAATTAGTTATTATAAATAAAGTCTTAAAAATTGATTTTTTTATATAAAAAAAATATAGGTAATTTTTAAGTATATCTAAAATAGTGAAAATCAATGAACAATAAAATATTTAAAAGAAAAAAAAAACGAGTATAGCTCAAGAGGGTATAACTAATTATTTCCTATGTTAAATAGACATTAATGATTATAATTAAAAGAGATTTCAAAAACTTTCAATATTGATTATTAGGTTTTATTTTTAAATTTAAGAAGGAGAAACATTAGAAATTTCTAAAAATACAACTGTCAAAATTCATTTTTTATAATAGGGAAGGAATTTTAAGAGATGAAGGCCTTATTTGGTTGGAAATTTTTTGAATTTTTTTTTCAAAATCACTTTCTCTTTCTCCTACTCATCGATTAATTACTTTTTCTCTCTCCTCTCTCTTTTTTAATTATTTTTTTCTCACATACATCTATTTTACTATAACAAATCAAATCATCCTAAACTTCCACACTCCAAAACTATTTTCAAAATATACAATCAAATAAACCAAATTAATAGTAAAATAGTAAAATATTTGTGAAAAACTATTTTAAAAAATTAATAAATACACAAAAATATGAAAAATAAAATGAATTTTTGTATTTTTTACGTATTTTTTATAATTAGGTAATTTTTTTAAATTTGTTTTTATAGATATTATACTTTTTAAGTTATTTATGTTATAAAAATTTTTAAAAAATATTTAAAATATTAAAAAAATTCATTGAAAACAAAAAAAAAACATATGAAAAATAAAAAAGTAAAATTTTTTGAAAACCAAAACTAAATAAGTTGATTAAGTTATGAGACTGAAGTATTTTTGAATTATAAATATATATTTAAAAAGCGTAATTAATAAAAGGATTTTTTTATTAATAAATCTCATTTGGAGGTGTTTTAACTCAACTAGTCCACTAAAGAAAATTATAACCTAATTAATCATATATATTTATATTTTTATGGGATTTTTATTAATAAATCCATTTTAGAGTTGTTATAACCCATTAAGTCCACAAAGGAATATTATAACCTGATTAGTCCCATATACTTTTCTTTTTATTCCATAAAGTCAATTTTTCTAATTTTATATTTTTACATGGACTATTATGCCCTTATATATATATATATATACACTGTGTTAATACATAACACGTTCCTGTGATTTCGTCATTCAATTTTGGCAGTTTTTATCATTCTAATTCAAATGGATACATTTCTATCTTGCATGCTATCATTCTATCGTTCTGAGACTTTGATGTGCTAGGGTTTCATTGTTGCTCTGGTTCGGTGATTTTCAAGTGAAGACGACGAATTTCATATTGTTCGATTTTCACATTTTCTGGAGTATAACTACTTCAAAGTGGTTGTTTTCGAGTTTCTGGACAATTGTAGGATTGCATGATTAAGGTTAGTATCATTTTGGTTATGAATACATGTTCACTTTATGTTTTGATTTCTATGATGGATCAGATGCTCTGTTTTTTTATTGCTATGGATCGGATGCTCTGGTTTTTCAATTACATGCATCATACGTGGTACTGTGGAGGGGAGGTCGTTCAGATTATGTGAAGAATGTTATAATATTCCTTTTACTTTGATGTATCCATAATGAGGCTCTGTGTGAATGATATAATTCAGAGTTTATGAATCAATGTGAATGTTTACATCGTGGTCATGTGGAGGGAAGGTCATCAGATTAGTGTTGAATGTTGATCTGCTATAGTTCAGAGTTTGTGGAACAATGTGAATGTTTACATCATGTTAGTGTTACGTGAAGAATGTGGATGTTTGCATTTTACTTTGATGTTTGCTTAATGAGGCTCTGTATGGGTGATATAATTCAGAGTATACGTGGCAATGTAAATGTTTACATCGTGGTAATATTATGTGAATAATGTGGATGTTCTCACTTTACTTTGATATTTGCTTAATGAGGCTCTGTATGGGTGATATAATTCAGAGTATATGTGGCAATGTAAATGTTTACATCGTGGTAATATTATGTGAATAATGTGGATGTTCTCACTTTACTTTGATATTTGCTTAATGAGGCTCTGTATGGGTGATATAATTCAGAGTATATGTGGCAATGTAAATGTTTACATCGTGGTAATATTATGTGAATAATGTGGATGTTCTCACTTTACTTTGATATTTGCTTAATGAGGCTCTGTATGGGTGATATAATTCAGAGTATATGTGGCAATGTAAATGTTTACATCGTGGTAATATTATGTGAATAATGTGGATGTTCTCACTTTACTTTGATATTTGCTTAATGAGGCTCTGTATGGGTGATATAATTCAGAGTATATGTGGCAATGTAAATGTTTACATCGTGGTAATATTATGTGAATAATGTGGATGTTCTCACTTTACTTTGATATTTGCTTAATGAGGCTCTGTATGGGTGATATAATTCAGAGTATATGTGGCAATGTAAATGTTTACATCGTGGTAATATTATGTGAATAATGTGGATGTTCTCACTTTACTTTGATATTTGCTTAATGAGGCTCTGTATGGGTGATATAATTCAGAGTATATGTGGCAATGTAAATGTTTACATCGTGGTAATATTATGTGAATAATGTGGATGTTCTCACTTTACTTTGATATTTGCTTAATGAGGCTCTGTATGGGTGATATAATTCAGAGTATATGTGGCAATGTAAATGTTTACATCGTGGTAATATTATGTGAATAATGTGGATGTTCTCACTTTACTTTGATATTTGCTTAATGAGGCTTTGTGTGGATGATATAATTCAGAGTATATATATCAATGTGAATATTCACATCTTGTTAATGTGAATTATGGATGTAACACTTGAACTGTACATGTATTCATCTAATTTTTGCATAATGTGAATTTTCATATCGATTTGGATTATTGTTGATTGTTGTGTTGTTGTGTTTTTACAGGAGATGAATACCTTTATGATGTTGGTGTATACATATGGTTGCAGTACCACTGTAATAAATGCTGCCCACGCATTGTGTTATTCGCATTTGGTAGACTGTTTGTGTGAAAAATGGGGGGAGTTGTCTGCTGGTTCTATTTCATTGTTCTGTCGGTTGGCAAAGATTGTGTCAGTTGGCAAAGATTGTGTTACAATAAGATTACGTTGCGTTGGCAAATATACTAATGCATTAGTATTTGATTTGTGTTTTGTTTTTAATTTTTTAAGGTACCAATCTGATGTTTATGTTATTGTGTTTTGGATGAATGCATGGTGTTAACTTTCACACTTGTGTAATATAATCACATTATGTGAATAATTGCACATGAGTTGAAATTTTAAACATTTCTGTGGTGTGAATGTTCACTTTCTTGTTACTGTTAACAACATCAAAGTAGATAGTATCTACTAATGTAAGTTCACCCAGTAATCAATACTAATAGGAATGTTCAGATCATTATACACTGATGTGAATGTTCACATCAGTATCTACTAATGTAAGTTCACCCAGTAATCAATACTAATAGGAATGTTCAGATCATTATACACTGATGTGAATGTTCACATCAGTATCTACTAATGTAAGTTCACCCAGTAATCAATACTAATAGGAATGTTCAGATCATTATACACTGATGTGAATGTTCACATCAGTATCTACTAATGTAAGTTCACCCAGTAATCAATACTAATAGGAATGTTCAGATCATTATACACTGATGTGAATGTTCACATCAGTATCTACTAATGTAAGTTCACCCAGTAATCAATACTAATAGGAATGTTCAGATCATTATACACTGATGTGAATGTTCACATCAGTATCTACTAATGTAAGTTCACCCAGTAATCAATACTAATAGGAATGTTCAGATCATTATACACTGATGTGAATGTTCACATCAGTATCTACTAATGTAAGTTCACCCAGTAATCAATACTAATAGGAATGTTCAGATCATTATACACTGATGTGAATGTTCACATCAGTATCTACTAATGTAAGTTCACCCAGTAATCAATACTAATAGGAATGTTCAGATCATTATACACTGATGTGAATGTTCACATCAGTATCTACTAATGTAAGTTCACCCAGTAATCAATACTAATAGGAATGTTCAGATCATTATACACTGATGTGAATGTTCACATCAGTATCTACTAATGTAAGTTCACCCAGTAATCAATACTAATAGGAATGTTCAGATCATTATACACTGATGTGAATGTTCACATCAGTATCTACTAATGTAAGTTCACCCAGTAATCAATACTAATAGGAATGTTCAGATCATTATACACTGATGTGAATGTTCACATCAGTATCTACTAATGTAAGTTCACCCAGTAATCAATACTAATAGGAATGTTCAGATCATTATACACTGATGTGAATGTTCACATCAGTATCTACTAATGTAAGTTCACCCAGTAATCAATACTAATAGGAATGTTCAGATCATTATACACTGATGTGAATGTTCACATCAGTATCTACTAATGTAAGTTCACCCAGTAATCAATACTAATAGGAATGTTCAGATCATTATACACTGATGTGAATGTTCACATCAGTATCTACTAATGTAAGTTCACCCAGTAATCAATACTAATAGGAATGTTCAGATCATTATACACTGATGTGAATGTTCACATCAGTGTCTACTAATGTAAGTTTACCCAGTAATCAACACTAATGGAAATTTTCACATCATCTGTGTTTACAAAATCAATTCCGAAAACATCTATGTTTATAAATTCAAATCTGAAAACCAGAAGATGGATGTATACATCGGTGATCACATTATGATTGAAAAGCAGAAGGGGGAATGGTATTGCTTACTTTTGTTCCTCATGGTGGGTGGGTATGGTCACTCTCAATGGATGAAATAAACTCAATCCAACGACGAAGAAGCACCCTCCTTCCGATGTGAACCTTTGCAGCAGTGAGATGAAGAGGAATCTGGGGTCGACAGTGGACGATGACGATGTTGATTGGACGATGTGAATCTAGAGTTACTGGAGGCGATGTGAATCTGGTTTCCTGATTCAGTTTTTGTTTTGGAAATTTTGTAGATTGAATAGTTGGAATGGGAATGGGTTTTGGTAGAATCGATTACACGCGGGAGAGGCGAAGGAGGGGTATTTCGTCCTTTTACAATTAATGGACCTAATGGAATATTCAGAAATAGTTTGGGTTTTATGGAATAAAACAGTTACAAATAGGATTTATCAAAAAAGAGCCCTATTTTTATTTTATGAGGTCTCTTTTTCTTGATTTATATTGTTTGTTAGACTATTATACCCTTACGTCTATTGTTGATATATATTATACAAAAAAATGATATTTATATTTCTTTTTTGTTGCTACCTCTATTTTGGTAGTTACCATTATTCACGTTTTTCTTTTTGATCAATTTTATTCACATGTGTGGTATTATTTCATTGTGCTAGAGTTTTAAAACTCTCTATTAGTTAAGATTTAGAAACTCTAGTTTATACATGGTGGTGAAATAATATTATGTTCCTACATTATTGCAGTGAAGTTTTGTATTCCTCCATTGTCACTTTGTGTTCAAAGATCTGTATTCGTCTATTATTGTTCTTTTGTGTTTGGTTTATGTTTGTAAAGTAATTTTTGAAATAAAAAGTACGAAAACTTGTTTGGTTTGCCTTTTTTCAAAAATGATTTTGGAAAATTGTTTTGGGAAGAGAGTTTTAAAAAAGGTGATTGATTTGATGTGTATGAGAGAGAGAGTGATTTTGGAAAATATGTAACCAAACAAAATTTTGACATTTTTTTTGAAAAAATTTGTTTGGTTTGATTACTCTTGAAAATTTGTTTGTAGAGAATTCTTTCCAAAAAAATTTCTGAAAAACAAACCAAACAAGGCCTATGTTTCTCCATTATTGTAAGTCAAAACTCTATTTATGTCTAGTCAATTTTATTACAAACATATTCTTCAAATGTGGGTTGGGTTTGGTTTGATTTGGATTTGTGGAATGGTAAAACTGCATAGATTGTTAATGATAGTGATAATGATAAAGATGATGATGTGAGTGATATTTTTTTATTTTATTTTTAGAGTGATCAAGTTTTTTTTGGATTTATAATTCTATTGCTGCCATTGTTTTTATTTTTTTGTCAATCAGTGTAAATGTTCACATTTCACATTGTTTGAAAGTCCGAGAAATAAATGTTAAAATGTAGATATAGACGTAATGTAGACGCGCTCCTGGGAACTCCCTGACATCCGCGCGCGCGACGAGGCAGCGCAAATCTTGTTTTGTTCTGAGCTACTACAGTTCAGACTCAAATATCACGGTTTTGAACGTGACGAGGTGGCGCGAATCTTGTTTTGTTCTGAGCTACTATAGTTCAGACTCAAATATCACGGTTCTGAATCTAATCTTACAATGTGCGATGTAAGACCGATAAATCACCAAAGAGTCCAAATCCGGCAAATCGTTTTGGAAAACTGATTTTATAAAGAAGTGTCAAACATGAACTGCTTTGTCAGATACAGAGTCGCCACCTAAATATTTTATTTTGGGGGAATTTAGGAAACCCTGACTCGTGCCTAAGGCCACGTGTCCGTCATCACCAAAGTTGCCTTGGCTCGAGAACTTGAGTACGATTGGGGAAGGTCATTTAATGAGCACCCCCGCTCGCCCGATCAAAGATCGGCCTGTACTAAGCATGATATCTTGTTTTTGAAAACATATGTGTTCTTATTCCAGTTAATTAGCTAATCTTACTATGTGATGCGCACAGCAAACAAGTATAAATTAGATCGGCTAATTTGAAACAAAACATTGCATATTCATTTGAAAACGGTTTGAAGTTTGCTACTCGCAAGTAGGCTAAAATGCGGATTTCAATGAATTATTCCAATTCAAGTAATCCAACCTTCACCCACAGGCATTCAGGTAGTTAATCAACTAAGCAGTTAGCTTCATGGCAAGCATGCTTTCATGGCAACATCAACACACATGCAGTATGCTAAAGCGTAAACACTCACAGTGTACTCCGAGCCAAAACAAAGAACTAGTTAAAAATCATGCATGATCCTAGTTCATGTTAAGATGGCTAATGCAACACATGCGAGAATGCAACTAAAATAGGCTCGACTATTTTAGAATGTCATGTGAAATGCAACTTGGTACATGTATTCAAACTGGGATTGAAATACAATGCAGTTAGTATGATGCGCTGAGCTCGGTGCATGCAAGACAGATGAATGGATGCACGCATGCAAACATAAGGTATGCTAAATGAAATATGCCCTAAAACTAACCATCGTAAGCGGTTAAGTAAAAAAGAGAAAGAAATGGAGGTTGGAAGACATGCATCACACACACGCACGCTTATTACAATAATGCGCTCTCTTGAAAGAGGGACCGAATAAGAAGCTAAATAGCTAATCTAAGCTAATTATTATATAACGAATTGAATAGCTAACGCATTAACTAATTAAAGTACAAACCAAAGCAAAAGCGAGCTATCTAAGCATAGCAGCTAAGGAAAGCAGTAAATCAAGAGCCTCAGAGGAAGAGGAATGCATGCAAGCCCGGTCGCCTCGTTCGGAAATCTAATGCGATGCCCCGATTTGCCCCTGTTTTCATCTGTCCTCAGAACTCTGCACCAAGCTCCAGAAAGATAAAACTCCACCTAGGGAAACCTGTGGGAGGGTGGCCGACCACTTTTGGTTGTTGAAAAACCAGAAAAGTGGTAGGCCAGCTAGTTTTTCTGGCTGGCCGGCTAGTTGTTGCTGCTAAACTGCAATTTGCTGCAACAAAGAGCAAGAAAGGGCATGACAATGTATTTGCAAGATATGTGTACATAACCATCCTCCCTATCATGTCATGAACTCAAGGGGGTGTGGTTCTCGACCCTCGGGCCACCAATCGCACATCTCGATGCATGATGGCCGAGAGGCAAAGTTGCATAATTCAATATGAAAATGAATGCACAAGTAAACACATAAAGCCTAAAACTCTATCATGTATAATCATCAAGAGCTTCGGCGACCGAGAATTGAGGCACGTTTCATCACTTGAAGTATGAAACGTCCCTTGTTCCTCGTGTTTGGACTAACACCTATTCCAAACAACAATGCAACACATAACATGGCATACACAATGCGACTCAAGCATACAAACATGAGAGAGATAAGCATGCAAACATGCAATTAACACACTAGCATACACAATGTGAATGAACTATATGGCATACGCAATGCAATGACTAACATGGCATACACAATGCAATATGATCATG